GGAGGAGCTGGAGATCCGCAGCTCAGGTGGGAGAATCTGTCCACAGGACAACTATTAGTCATGCACTGGACAATTGTAGCCTTTTTATGGAAGAGTAGCAAGAAGAGAGCCATTGTTGAAAGCCATAGGTCCTGTTTGGGAGAAGCCATGTGGGGTGGGTGGGGGAGACTCGGCAAACGTGGAAGAAGGTGCGCTGGTCAGATGAGGCCAAAATTAAACCTTTTGGCCTAAAAGTAAAACTCTGTGTGGCAGAAAACAAACACTACACATCACCCTTAACACACCATTCCACCATGCAACATGGTGGCAGCATCATGTGGGGATGCTTTTCTTTAGCAGGGACGGGGAAGCTTGTCAGAGTTGATGGGAACATGGATGGAGCCAAATACAGAAATTTTTAGAAGTGTTTTACAGCCTCAGGTGTCTAGCCAATAGAAGGCTAAACTACATTTAGCTAAAATGGTGTAAATACTATTTTTCTAATATCTATTCCATTGTTAATAGACTGTTTACTGACTTGAATAGTACCAGCGGATGGCGAAAAGCAAGCGTGGCACCGATATTCCAAAAAGGACAGGATATATACTATATATACCTGCAAACCACTCACTTTGTTCTTTATTTCTACGTGGGAGCCTAATGGTTCTCACTACAGTAATTTGAGGCTACAGGGGAAGACCAAACAGTAAATTTCAGCTCATAGCACAATTAACCACTTGCCCTCCTGAGGATTTACCACCCTTCCTGACCAGGCCATTTTGTGCGTTATGGCGCTGTATTACCTTAACTGACAATTGCGCGGTCATGCAGCACTGCACCCACATTTTTTTGGTTTCCCACATAATGAGCTTTCTTTTGGTGGTGTTTGATCACCTGTGCGTTTCTTTTTGTGGGGTTTTTTTTTTTTTTGCGCTATAAACGACAATTTTGAGAAATATCTTTTTTTTTTTTTTTTTTTTTTTTTTTTTTTTTTTTTTTTTTTTTTTTTTACTCTACATGTTTAATAGCAAAAAGTTAAACATTTTGAACAAATTTCTTCATAAATTTAGGCCAAAATGTATTCTGCTTCATGTGTTTTGCTAAAAAAAAAATCCCAATACGTGTAAATTGGTTTGTGTGAAAGTTTACAAATGTTGTGCATATATACTGGGATTTTTATTTTTACTAGTAATGCTGGTGATCAGTGACTTATAGCGGGACTGCGGTGCGCATTCTGACACTGGGGGGGGGGGAAAACTGACTTGGTGACACCAATACAGTGATCAGTACTAAAAAAAAAAAAAAACACTGTACTAATGGCACTGAGCAGGAAGGGGTTAACATGAGGGGCGATCAAAGGGTTAACTGTGTGCTGTTTTTACACTGCAAAACAGTGTGCACGAGCTGAAAGGGAGAACTGTTTTGTTTACAAAGAGTTCTCCTCCCCGATGGAGATGCTCAGCAATCACCAGGTGCCGGCGAGTAATCACCGGCTGTGACCTGGTTGACCGCCACAGGTAGGGCATGCGCACACCCCCTACCCGGAAGTGCAAAATCGTGTGTGTAGGAAAGAAGTATTTGGTCCCCTGCTGATTTTTGAATGTTTGCCCACTCACAATGATCAGTCTAAAAATCGAATGGTAGGTGTATTGTAACACTGATTTTTTTCCTAATAGATTATTGGTCTGCTTGAATTTATCATTTTTTAAACATTTAAATCTCCCAGTTGTCCTTAAGCCACTTCTGTTTTGACTGTGTGCCTAGGATTGTAGTCAAGTTGGTGGTGAACCTTTTGGCTTAGTCTGAGAGCTGTGGAACAGGTTTTCATTGAGTGTATATCTGTACTTTGGTCAGGGTTGAGAGAAAGCTAAATGGAGCAGGCAGTCTCAGTCCTTGCTGCTGAAAAACACCCCTACAGCATGATGGTGTCATCACCATGCTTAACTGTTGGGATGGTATTGGACAGGTGAAGAGCCTTGCCTGGTTTCCACCAGACCTAATGTTTAGAATTGAGGCAAGGCTTTTTTTCAATCTGTTTCATCAGACCCAGAGAATCCTTTTCCCCAGTCTGAGTCCTTTTAGGTGCTTTTTGTACATTCCAAGCAGGCTTTCATTTTGTTTTGCACTGATGAGCCCTCTGTCTAGCCATGCTGCCATACAGCCCAGATCTGTGGAGTTCTTCACTGATTTGTCATTTGGAACTTTGTGCCATCTCCACACAAGCTCTCTGGAGCTCAGGCAGTGACCATCAGGTTCTTGGTTACCTCTTACTGAGGCCCTTCTCCACCAATTGCTCAGCTTGGCTGGGCAACCAGCTCTTAGAGTGTTGGTTGTGCCAAACTTCTTCCATTTGAGAATTACGGAGGCCACTGTGCTCTTGGGAACCTTTAGTGCAGCAGAAATGTTTTTGTAGTCTTCCCCAGATCTGTGCCTTGAAATCCTGCCTCTGAGCTCTGCAGGCAGTTCATTTTTGACCTCATGGCTTTTGCTCTGCTATGGTATGCATTGTCAGCTGTGAGGCCTTTTTATAGACAGGTGTGTGTGTGCCTTCCAAATCAGGTAAAATTTAATTTACCACAGGTTGACTCCAGTCAAGGTGTAGAAACAATGGTCAAGAAAATTGGGAGGCACCTGAGCTAAATTTCAATGTGATTTTCAGTTTTCCCTTTTTCATATATTTGAAAATAAACATTTTTTTAAAATGTTTGCATTTTGGGGCACAGTGTAGATTAATGAGGAAAAATATTAATTTAACCAGTTGGCTTTACTGCTTCAGGGCAGCCACTGTGTGTGTATGTATGTGACGCTGCACTTCCTGGTTGGGTGCATGCGCCGCTTCTGCAGTGATTTGGCCAGCATGTGCTGATCCGATTCTGCTGTAACTAATGGATTACTGCTGGCACCTGCTGAGGAGAGACGCAGAACACAGTCTGGTGATGTGCTGGATTTTGCTTTCCTGCTTAGCGGGGAACAAAATCCAGCACATTCTTGGTAAAAGCACACATTTATTTATTACAGGTCCTTGTATAGCGCTGTCAATTTACGCAGTGCTTTATTTATATATATATATATATATATATATATATATATATATATTCATTCTACATTTACATCAGTCCCTAACCCTCGAGGGGTGTACAATCTAAGGTCCCTAACTCGCATTCATACATACACCAACTAGGGCCAATTTAGACAGGAGACAATTAACCTGCCAGCATGTCTTTGGAGTGTGGGAAGAAACCAGAGTACCCAGAGGAAACCCACGCAGGCACAGAGAGAACATGCAAACTCCAGGCATAAAGCGCTGCATAAATTGACGGTGCTGTAAAAGTACCTGAAATAAATAAATGTGCACAATTCCTGCATGCACGAGAAGGAACATTAAGCCTGTGAGGGTGCACAGAAGACCGTCCAGAGGAGCCATCTCGTTTACTGGCATGCCCTTCCTGACACTTGCCTTCCCCCAGTCATAGCCGTGTGTGGAGATCAGTGGAAGAGAAGGCTGAGAAGAAATGCTAGCGCGTGTGCCTGACCAGCCCCTCCTATACAGGCACAGAGAATCCAATTCATGGAACTTGTTTCTTGTTGAAGCTATGAGCTCATTTTTTTAAAGTGACTCTGGAGAAATTGCTTAGCCCCGTGTTCTCGATATCATTCTCTAACAATTAGATTTGTAGTGCTGAATGTCAACTTGCATATTAAACTGGGTTGTAAACTTGATCTCAGTTTGGGTAATATCTCAATAATTTTTTGGGATTGCATTAGGAGGATCTAGATCTTTACAGAAAGCTCTATCCACTAAAGTTAGGTCCATATATATTTGGACACGTGCACAATTTAGTTTTTTTCAGGTATTTACTAAAACATATTCAAGCTATATTTATAGAATGAATATGGGCTGGAAGTGCACAGTCTCAGATTTAATTTGAGGGTATGTTCATCTAAATTGGAGGAAGGGTTTAGGAATTACAGCTCTTTAAGAGTAGCCACCCCCTTTTTTTTTACAAGGGACCAAAAGTAATTGGACAATTGAATTAAAAGCTGTTTCATGGCCAGGTGTGGGTTACTCCGTTATTTCCGTTAAGCCAGTACAAGGTCTGGAGTTGGTGGTACATTCTGAGGAAAAACGCACTGGGGAGCTTGGCAACATAAAAAGGTATAGACGTCCACAGAAGACTGCAATGGTGGATGATCACAGGATCCTCCTATGGTAAACAAAAACCCATTCACAACATCCAGATAAGTGAAGGACTCTCTCCAGGAGGTGGGGTGTATTATTTGTCAAAGTCTACAATCAAGAGAAGACTTCATGAGAGCAAATACAGAGGGGTCACCGCAAGGTGCAAACCATTCATAAGCCTGAAGCATAGAAAAGCCAGATTAAACTTTGCTAAAAAAAATCTAAAAAAAAAAAAAAAAAGAGCCAGACCAGTTCTGGAACAGCATTCTTTGGATAGATGAAACTAAGATTAATCTGTACCAGAATGACGGGAAGGAAAAAGTGTGGAGAAGGCTTGGAACGGCTAATGATCCAAAGCAGTGTCATCTGTAAACATGGTGGAAGCTGTGTGATGGCATGGGAATGCATGACTTCCAGTGGCACTGGGTCATTGGTGTTTTATTGATGTGACTGCAGAATTCATCCGGCTGCTTCTGTCTTCAGTGTTTAGAAATATACTATTAGCCAAATGCAGCAGAGTTGATTGGACGGCGCTTCACAGTACAGATGGGCAATGATCCAAAACACTTTCAAATGCAACACAGGGGGTTTTGAAGGAAAAGTGGAATATTCTGCAATGGCTGAGTCAATCAGCTGATCTCAACCAACTGAGCATGCATTGCACTTGCTGAAGGCAAAACTAAAGGCAGAAAGACCCACAAAGAACTTTTTTTTTTTTTTTCTTGGAAAAATGTTCCCTGCTAAAGTTTTTATATGCAACGAATAGGAATTTAGTTTTGTAAAATTTTAACAAGTACTAATCAAAGGCAATCTTCATAATTTATCCATCTTTTTACCCTAGAGAGATGCCTTGAAGACCACGAACTTGTAGTACAAATCCAGTCCATGATGTCAAGTGAAAGCAAATTTCTGTTCAGGAAGAATTATGCAAAATATGAATTTTTCAAGAATCCTGTGGTAAGTGGGTATAAATACTGCTATAAGTATTCTATGTATATATATATATGTATATATATATATATTTTTTGTTTATATATATATATATTATATATAGTTAGTTCACTGTTTTTGTTTCTGTACCTAGCTATGCAAGATTAGTGTGTTGATCTTCCCCGCTGAGCTATTGTGTTCTGACGGGGGGGGGGGGGGGGGGGGGGGGGGGGGGGGGGCGCTGCCTGTTGAACCAGACGATATTAGGCCCATGTGTACCAGCTTTCTGGGTGTGATTAGCTAAAGTACAATCAATTCTGTAGATGCTTAGCCGGTTTGTAAACATTTTAGGTATTTCTAATAGTATGCATAGTGCCCCAACCAATGGTCAGAGTTGCAACTTGGAGAATCTTCCTAAAGGGTTATGGTTCAGAACGCATCAAATTGCTACACTGTTGCTGGGCAGGTATAGCAGCAGGCCTCCGTTTCTTTGAAGATGGGCAGATCATTATTGCCTATTGCAGAATTTTCATAAAGCAACTTGGAACTGCCTGTCAGTGGCCATCATTCCAAAGAACTAATACACATGAATGGTAGTATAAGTTGGATGGAAAGTAGTGTCACAAACTGATAAAGGCTGTATGAAAAATTAAACAACCATGTTAAAAAAAAAAAAATCATTTAAATGAGTGATAACTTGTTGAACCATTATTTAGATGTCTGCTTTATCTACCTGCACTAGAAAAAAACACTTGACTGCAATATAAGCACTTTTCCACTTTAAGTATTTCAGTGGCTAGAGCCCACTATTTTTAGAGTTCACCCCAGATGCAGAGTTTGGTGGATCCAAGTGTAAATAGATAACATTTTCACTGTAATGAACACACCAAGAGAATTGTAATGTTTCCATTGGCACACCAGCACACACATGCAAATGTTCTTATACTGGTGCAATGAAGAGCTGCACCATTGGCTCAAGGGGCTATAAAGTATAATTTTTTCTTTTTTTTTTTTTTTTTTTTTTTTTTTTTTTGCGCCATTTTTTTTTTTTTTTCTTGGAAAACCATTAAATCTATTGGAAGGACAACTCTGTATTTGGGAGTACATGCACTCTTGGATTGACAAGTATGGACTGAAACCCCCCTGTATCTAACAGGAAATTGTGGAAGTTTTCACTCCTACAAAGGGTAGCCCCCCTATGGTGTGCATGCTGCTCCATGCAGAGGATAATCCTCATAGTATAACTTTGAAAACCTGAGTTTTACGATTTTGAGACTGTACTTGGGATCAATAGTCTGTTCATATTTTTGTTTTTTTCACTCATCCTGATCTGCTTGCCCCTTACCGCAAATTATTTTCAGGCTTGTAACATGTTTGGAACTATGAAAAGAAAAAACAAGTTCCCTTCCCTTGGCACATACCTAGAGTTTTAACGTTGGATAAAGGCACATGTCCATGCAGTTCTTGTATGTCCATATCCCTGTATATCTTGTTCATTGAGAAACACATCTAATTTTTAAAAATGTTATCTACACTGGTTGCTAATTCCAGTAGTTGTGGAAGGTAGTGTTAGTGCGTCATTTTTACCGCTTGAATAGTTGACTTCAAAGGGTTGTCAGTATTTAACCACTTCCCGACCGGCCGTTGCATATAAACGGCCAGACGGACGGTGGCAGTACAGGGTTGGGTGGCAGTTTGTGAACGGCCTCCCCGCACCCTGCTTGTGCGCGCTCCCTGGGAGCGCGCAGCACCGCGATCCGGTGCCCGCTGTGTCCTCCGGACACAGTGAAACACCGATCGTCGGACGGGACCTCTGTACGATCCCGATCATGTGATCACTGATTGGCCAATCAGTGATCACATGCAAAGTAGTAAGCAAGATGCCACTTGTGACATCATTGCTTACTACGTGTGAAATCTGATCAGAGGTCACATTTTACAAGGCTATTCACAAAAGCCTTGTACCATGTGACAAGCTGTGACCAATCACAGCTCACTCAGTACTTCTCAATGAGTGCAAGAATGCAGACAGAGAAATGATTGCTTTTACATCCTATATGGGTGTAAAAGCAATCATTGTAAAAAAAAAAAGAAATCTTCATCACCCCCCACAAGTAGGTGACACTGTACTGCTAGGGTGACGGTATGTAAAAAAAAATTAATAAAAAATAAAAATGTAAAAAAAGTTTAAAAATTATAATTTTTGGTTAAACTTTTTTTTTTTTTTTTTTTACTAAAGACGGAATACATTTTGGCAAAGATTTATGATGAAATATTTATTTGCAAAATTTTATAAAAAAAAAAAAACTTCAAAATTTTTGGACTTTTTCATTTGCATAGCAAAAAAATAAAAATCCCAGTAGGGAATAAATACCACCAAAATAAAGAAAATAAAAAATGTATTTGGGTACAGTGTTGCATGACTGCGCAATTGTCATTCAAAGTGTGATAGCGCTGAAAATTGCCCTGGTCAGGAAGGGGGGGAAAGTTGTCCGCACTGGAGGTGGTTAACCATACAGTACAAAACACAGGCTTGTGTCAGACTGGTACTTTCAGGTGATTGGATTCTGGCAAATCCTTTGTGGGGAAAAAATCCGCCTGGACATCCCCCTTTAACCTTACCTCACTCCACGAGACCTTAAACCGGTTTCCCCAATACTATAGTCACCGTTGAAAGATTTGTATGTTGCAGTCCTATTGATTCTTAATGCCTCTTGTATGAGAATGTATTTGTGGTTTGCATGCATTTTTCTATGGTGTAGACCATTATAACAAACAAATCCCTTCTTTCAGAATTTCTTTCCAGAACAGATGGTTGCTTGGTGTCAACAATCAAATGGTAGCATTCCCCAATCTGATTTATTGCAGGTAATAGTTGATGCATGTTGGAGGTTAAAGTGGCATTAAACCTAAAATCAAACCTTTATTATATTGCAGCTTACCAGTTCTTAAATGCAATGGCTGGATAATTTTTCTTTAAGGCTTTTTCTTTAATTTCACCTGGTGATCTAGCCAGTAAGTTTGTTGTATTTTTTTCAACAGAACAAGCTGTCTTTGATGTAGCAGAGGGTTAACACAATCTATCTAACGCTTGACAGGAGTGCTTACAATGAACAGCTTTTATTTATGTAAAACATTTACAGAAAAAGGTTGCTCATCTAACACTCCCCTCCCAGATTTACAATGCAGCTGTCCAGAGGTGTCGATCCTTCACCCAGAGTGTAGGCACCCTAAGGCAGGAATTGCCTAAGGATTGGTATGCTACAATAGGTGAAAACTTTGGTTTTTGGTTTAACACTTTTTTACTGCCAGGTCCATTCATACTGACTTGATGGGTAAGGGTGGGGGGAGGGCAGATTTACACACACCTTGTGGTTGCAGTGTGTATATCTGAAAAGCCAGCTGTCAGACGAAAGCAATCTGGCAGCAATGCATTGGCTCGATTCATCCTGTTTAGTCCTATAGACTTGTGAACAAGAGCTCATACCTGGGAAGTCCATAGAAATGATTCGGAATTGCATGGGAAGGTTGTTTTTGAAAAAAAACTACTGAACAATAAATGATCAGCTGGTCAAAGGGTGTGCACAGTAAATGTTTAGTTTGATCTAGGTGCCCCTTTAACTTCTCCCATTTTTAATTTAGAAAAGAGCCATAGTTATGTCTGGTCCTGTAATGGTTGCCCATACCTTTTTTTTGTAGACTTTAAGACACTTAAAGGACTGACTTTACTATAGGACACATCTGGTTGACGCCAGTTTTTTTGTTTTTTTTTTTTTGTTTTTTTTTTTTTAAATACAGAATTTTTTGAATGCCAACAGTTGTCCAGAGATACAAGGCTTCTTGTATGTTAAAGATGTAGGAAAGAAATCATGGAAGAAGCTGTTCATTTGTCTGAGAAGATCTGGACTTTATTGCTCTACTAAAGGAACCTCAAAGGTATAACTTTTTATGCAGCACTTGTAAACTTGCAGAGCTGCATTTTGAGGCAATTAAAATATATATTTGTAATACGCATTAGGTCATTTTAAACTGCTTTGTCGGTAGGAATTTTTGTCTTCTGTACAAGACTTATAGTAGTAAACTTAAAGAATAAGTTTACTTTCTAGAAAAAAAAGCACATTTTTTTTTTGCAGGTAAAAAAATTTTTTTTTGCATTTACTTTTACCTCGAATGGGCAAGTAGGTAAAAGACCGGAAGAATCCATGAACTACCACATTGCTCAACAGTGCCGTTCATTGAGAACAACAAGGCTATCAGGACTTTTAGTTCATTCATTCACAGAACTCTGAATGAATGACGTGGCCTTGTGGGCAGAGCCCCCTACGGCCATGCTGGTTTCAAAAAGTGACAGCTAGTACAGGGAGAGAGGACCGCAGGCTGCTGCAGCAGTTGATAAACTGTTCCCAAAGGTGAACTTATCCTTTTAACATCACTGTCACATCAGTCACCCTGCAGGTTTACACCATAATGGCCTGCATACTAGCACATTGTCACATGCCTGTAGAATAGACCCCTTCTGCGGCGCAGAGTCACCGCTGACATGGATTTAATCTTCACCTGGTCTTCCTTCCGAGTTCGCAGGCTCCAGCCAATTGAATGGCCTAGCCATGATGGCGTCACTCCTGCACATGTGCACGACGGGAGTCACAGCCACAGCGCAGCTCTCTGAAGGGATAGCTCCTCTTCAGAGCGCATTCACTGGTGAAATCACCGGCTGCTGCTCACCTGAATATCTTCCAAACTGTGCACGTTTAGGAGAAATTTAATTTTATATACAGGTAAGCTTTATTAGATGTTTACCTGTAGATAAGTGTTACAAAGTGGATTTTACTACCGCTTTAAAGGACACATTCTCCATAGCCCCATTTTCTATTCTAGCCTAGAACATCTTTCATCCTGGTGCATACCATTTACTGCACAACTTGTGTAGTAAATTGTCCAAAATTTCTTCATCCGGGTCCCTTTACATGGCTGAAACATTGGGGGAGATTTACAAAAACTGGAGCACTCAGAATCTGGTACAGCTACGCATGGTAGCCAATCAGCTTCTAACATCAGCTTGTTCAGTTAAACTTTGGCTATACAACCTGGAAGCTGATTGGTTTCTATGCAAAACTGCACCAGGTTGTGCACACTTCAGGTTCAGTAAATAACCCCCATAATGTCAAAGGTTGGCAGATGTCAAAAGGAAAAGCTTAAAACACGAGCTGCAAATTTGGTGACACTAAACTACTTAATCATATAGTACAGGACACGGGCAACTTATTCATACACTGTGAGCATAGCTCTGGAACAGCTCTTCTTACCATTTCATTATATCAAAATGCAGCTAACTGGAATAGGACCATGAGTAACCAACATGACCTTGTAGTTCAGGATCATGCGGGTGCAGAACATTACACCTGCCTTCTGCTCTTTTCTGTGTAGGTACCCTGGAGCACCTCATGCAACAAATGTCCAGAATGGCTCTAATCTCCATTCGTATGCGCAGAATCCTCTAATGGCTTGGTCAGCAGAATCTGCCTGCAAAGTGTGCGTCACACATGCTTTTTCAAGTTGGAGATCCATTTAGTAGAGGCACGTGATAAATTCATCAAAGGCTGTAACATTTTGCTTCCTCAGATGACAAATCCTTCCTCAAGAGTTCCCAGTTTCTCAAAATACAGGGTATCTCCTCTCTCTACATAATTTCCAGAGTCAAATCCTATTTTTAGCCTTTTCCTTTCTGCATAAGGCTTGGCCAACAAACGCACCAAGCCCTCTTCACAGTGAAGGAGCACCCACAGGCTTGGGTAGGGGATGTCTGGTGCAGTTTGCATCTTTGGGTAACAGATGTCAGGCATGTGGGTTGAGTCTTTAAAAAAAAAAAAAAAAAAAAAAAAAAAAAAGGTACAAGGTAGATTTCAATAGTCTGCCACCTCCTTGGTACTTTAAAATCAGCCAAAAACTGCCCAAGGGCAGTAAGATGTGCAAAAGACCCAGAGCCATCTCTTGTCTCGGAGTTGTAACCATACCACCACTAGACATGGATTCTACTCAGACCTGGTTACAGTACCAAAACCCAACAAGAGGTATCCTTCCTATCCTAGACTGGAAATCCCTCAGCAAATTCACATTCCAAAATTTCAGATGGAATCTGACAAGACCAGGGAACACTTGACATCTGTGGACATCCAAGATGCCCATCTGCATGGCCCACTTTACCCACCTCATGCGGTTTCTATGCTTTGCAGTGTTAACAAAGCTCTTGGCACTCTTGCTTGCCCTTCTCAGTACTCAAGGCAACTTGGTGACAGGCTAACCAGACTACCTTCTGAAGTATCCATCTCCCTCAACTTTCACAAATGTCCAAAAAAAAAAAAAAAATATATGTTCAGCTGCTTCAAGCCTTGGCTGGCTGATAAACTTATTGCGAGATTTAGCATGAGATTTCTAGGTCTAATGGTCGCCTCTTCTGAGGCAGTACACTTCACCCAATTCAACTGAGGAACTCCAACTAAACATTATCAGCATAAAAAAATAGCAGGCTCTTTCCCTGGATCTATCCATACTTCTATCCTCCCGCACAAGAAAGCACTTGCCCTGGTGTATTACAACTTCAACTTGAACAGTGGCAAAATGTTTTTCGATCTCTACAACTGGAAAGTTCTTACACATGTCTGTCAGACGGGGGAGGAGTCTTCAATCCTTGACAGTTCAGGGAACATGATCACAAGAGGCCAAACTCCCCATCAGATCTTGGATCTCAGAGCTGCCTGGCAGTCCCTCCAACATTAAACCCCCTTTGTAAAGACCCCCAATTTGGGTACAATTAGACAATGCCACCACAGTGGCCTGACTGCCTTGATGGAAGCAAACCAGATTCTCTCTCAAGAAGCTCAGTGTCTGGAAATTTCTGTGGTCCACATCCCAGGAGTGAAAAATTGTCCAGATTATTTTAGTTGTTACTGCTTGGACCAGGAGGAATGGTCTCTTCATCCAGATGTGTTTAACGATATGCCACAAAATGGGAGGAGGAGATCAAGATGTAGACATCCTAGCCTCCAGATACAACAAACTACCTCTGTGTCTAGAACCAGGAACTCTTCAGCTTTTGGCCTTGGATGCTCTAGTTATCACCTGGTCTATGTTGAGGCTAATTTATGCCGCCTCTTCCTGCAAAAGACCTCTGGCCTCTTCCCTACAGGTAAAATCTATCTAAAGGCCCTCTACTCCACCCTATTTCAGTCTCTGGCATTAACTGCATAGCTGTTGAAACCAGAGTCTTAAATGATGATAGTGTTTGAGTTTGATTCATACCTTTACAAGAAAATGAATAATGTCCAAGAAGATTTATTCTCATACCTGTTTGTACGAAAGCCAAAATGCCAGGCAAACTATAACCTTTTGACAAGTAATTGTGCAAACAGGTCTTGGCCAGGATCTGTCTCAAAGTACCCTCAAACGGCAGCTTTTGGCCTTATCAAATCCTTTCCAAAGGCATTGGCTTTGTATTCTTTATATAAAATTTTATTCAAGGGGTTTCTTGTATCGGGCTCCCTTTGCAGCACCATGTGCTTCCCTGGGACACTACTGCTTCAATTAGATAAAGATTCTTTGTTTTTTCCTTGGGAACTCGCAATTGGAACCCTGCTTCTAAACGGTGGAGAATTAATTTACTTACATGAACATATGCTTCACATCAAAAACCACCACCAGCATTGCTTGAGCCCACTCCACCACATCTGTTGGCGTATCCCAGGCCTTTAGGCATCAAGCCTGTCACCCCACTCTGTAAGGCTACCACCTGGTCTTTTTTCATAGTTTTTTTTTTTTTTTTCCAAGTTTTACTAAAACTATCTAATCTTCTGCAGATGCATCTTTCAGCCACAAGGTTCTTGGGCCTGTTGACACAGTTCAGTTTGCTGAGTTGCTGCTTGCCCTTGTATTCATTGCTTGGAGACATCTGGTGTATAAGTTGCCTGTGTACTGTATGATTAAGATCAAAGGAATTTGGACTTGCCTGTAATTTAGTCTCATACAAGTACAGTACAGGGCATCCTCCATAAAAGCTTCTGGTTACTCTGCATTTCTTGCTACAAAGTGGGGGACTTAGTGTGGTAATGTTACGGGGAGGTGCCCCGAGGTGGGGGAGGGGTGTGTTCTCAAAAGCTTTTCAGTGTCCAGTCACGTGCCTATAACCCATAGTGTATGAATGACTTGCTTATGTTCTGTACTCAATGGAATTTGCAAGCAAGTCAAAATTCCCCTTTTTTAAAAAAAAAAATTAATCTATTTATAGCCACTGCTTTTTTTTTGGACCTGTAATTAGTTTTTTCAGCTTCTTTATAACCTCATCCGTGCGCTTCTGACAGCTGTGGGATCTTCTGTCTAAACACAATGCCCCCGTGGGAAGATTTTCGTCATCTAGCTTTTTTTTTTTCTTCAAATAAGATTCCTGCACCCTCTCAAAAAAGACAGTTTAGACTTGGAGTCTTGTGCTTGCCAAAAAAGGTGGAATTAAAGTCTAAAACCCAACCTATCCTACCTACCCTGTGTAAAAATTACAAAAAAACTGTATATTTGGTCTGATCATGTCATTCTGCAGCTCTGGGAATTCTAGGAGCCCCTATAGGTTCCCGTGGCCTAGCCATTGTTGGCACTCCCTCCTCTCTCCTGCAGCTGCTGCTTGCTGGCACAGGATCACATGACTGGACCAGAGCAGACCACAAAATGTAATTGGTGCTGGGCTTGAACACCACCTTACCTTGGGCACTATTCATCTTCCACATCTCTGGAAAGCTTCAGCAGATTCTTTGGCTCAGATTATTATCCACATTGCATGAACTCAGACCTCAGTCATGTCCAGCAAGGTGTTAAGGCCATATGAAGAGATTCATGCATGCAAAATCTTGATATACGGCTTCCTGGCTGTTTACTCTGTTCTTTGGTGTTGCTAGTTAACTCCTATCCATTGGCTGCACACATATATGCAGCCTCTCGGCGGGTGGGCCTTAAACACAAAGAATAACTGAACTGTGCTGAGTGTGCACCATGTGTGCTCCTGGCACAGTTACAGTGGCTAATAGAATGTTCCCGGTCTCTACTTGCAATTGGGAGCTTTCTGATCATGTGACAGCCAATCACTGCAGTCACATGATCACAAACTCCAGCCAGTCTCCCAGCAGCTGAAACCCCTTAAACAGCCAAGGGCTTAAAGAGGAACATCCGTTAAGTTTTTGATAAATTTAAGAAAAAATTCACCATGGGGCATCATACTTGTGAAGTAAAGGCACAGTGGTTCAAGACCACACCCATCTCCTCCCATCTCTGCACTCATCTAGCCCTCCTCCAGTCTCCTCCGCTTGGTCTCACAAGACGAAAAAAAACCCAGATCACTCCTGGGATTGACAATGACCCAGGAGTCCAGGGAACTAGACCTGGCTACATCAATCGCCTAGATGAATGACATGGATGTAAACTGCAACTCTAATATGGTTTAAAAAAATAAAAAATACAAATTTATCTACCTCTAAAACAATTATTTCTTAAAGGAGGGGTAGATAAGCCAAATAGAACAAATTTCATAAACTGGCTGAAGGTCTGCTTTAAGCTTTTGCCATTTCTTGAAAATAGTGAGCATCATGATCTCTTGTTTCAGTATAGGCTATTTATTTTTTTACAGGAACCAAGACATTTACAGGGAATATCAGACTTGGAAGATAGCAATATTTATTCGCTGATTTCCTGTAAGAAGCTGTATAACTCTCCAACAGATTTTGGATTCTGTGTCAAGGTAAAACTCATGCTTATCCAGAGCTTAATTGCATTTGAATGTGGACTAGAAAGAATAGATAATAGACCTCATTTTCAATTTCTATGTTCATAAAGAGCAGATAAATTATTGGTAGTTTACCAGAATTTCTCTTCCAGTAACTGTACCTAGAGCTGAAACTTATCTAAGTTGTCATAGACTTATGCACAAAGTACTCTTCTAAAGAAAATGGTTAATGTGCAGCTTTCATGTGAGCTACTGAGTCCATTTATAGCTCTTAACTATAGCCATATTCTTACCCTGTTAACTCCACAGCCATGCATAGGAAATTATCTTGAATTTTTTTTTTTTTTTTTTTTTTATTGTCAGTGGCTACATTATACTATATTGCCTTGCGGCTACACTATGTAGATTGTGAACTGGCTGTGTTTTTCTGCTATCTAAATGTTCTAATGTGCATCAAGATATTCTGTTCTCTAAACTTACCTTTTTAGTGTGGAGACCTTTGAATTTTGGTTATGGTAGGGTTTTCAAGTATTGTAAGGTATCTGCTGTGTCAGAAGAAACTGAATGACGTTTGGTTTGCTAAAGCTCTGAATACCTGATGTATTATACAAAAAATAAAAGACATAATAAACGAGTGCAAAAAATTATGCATGTGCAAAAAATAGCAAATATTGCCTTAAACACTGAAAAATGTGTATATATATATGTATTGAAAACAAATGCATTATATATATATATATATATATATATATATATATATATATATATCCTTTTATATATATATATAATATCTTTATAAAGCCTGCAGAAATTCAGCAGTTACAGCATGCAGCAGTCACTTGCACACGAGCCACCGCTGTGATTTTTCAGGATGGGTTTCCTGATGGTGACAACAGTGGGAGACGTGTACCCATGTAATGTGTGTTAGTTCAGTCATTTGAAGTCTTCTACAGTTGGCGTTTGTGACGGTGGTGGGCAGGGACAGACTGTTGTCACCGTATAACAGGATGTACCTCTAACCTGTTAGTCATTTTAAATATTTGTAAATATTTAACAAAAATCTGGGGATCTTTTCATGAAGGTAAAGCTGGTGAAATTTTGGTAATCTCTCTTTATACTGCATATACATTAACTGATCCGAAGTAATATATTCGGAAGATGAGCTGCTTATCAGTCATCTTTTTGATGTTTCATGTTGAGATGAGATCATTTTAAGGATATCTGTAGGTTCAGGTAGATCTGTATTCGGTTATATCCCCCAAAATGCTGCTGCTCCTATTACTAGACCTAGTTGTGTCAGCAAACTGCAGGCAAGTGGTTGTTGTCTACCTCTGGCTGTCTATCTTGTAGAAGCCACCTCAAAGCAAACATAATTCACTTCTCAAGAGCTTGTGGACATTCATAGATGCAGCAGGATCAGAAATTGGTAGACAAAGTACATACAATGCACTGTGTACTAGTACTGTTGTGGGATATAACTGTATAGTTTTAATGCTCTGAGGGTGGCCCACTTCTTCCTAATCGGTGCTTGGCATTTTGTTACCGGAGCATACAGCTATCCTTTAGGGTCCCCTAGACCATTTTGCTGTGCTGTCAATTATCACTGATCATTGTGGTCAGAATTCCACAATACACTACATGCGCTTTTTAACTTTTTTGTAATGTTCTCTCTAACTTATAAACCTCATGACGACACAAAGGGGGCAAGTGGCCTGCCCGAATAACCTATACAAGGCTAGTTAGAGAGGTATTGAATGTAATCAATGCCTATCTTTAGATAAGGAGTAATTGGGAACAAACCTCTTGGAGGGGATAGGGTTATGTGGAAATGACTAGCATGAAGTTGTAAAAGTACCCTCTTGTTCAAATGGTGCCTTGACATTTTGTAATATAGCCCAACAGAGTCCGAACTGATATTAAAGACCTGCGATTTCTGTGTGCAGAAGACGAACAAAGTAGGACATGTTGGATGACTGCATTCAGACTTTTGAAGGTAAAATTTCATTAAATACCTTGGATAAAGCAGGTAATGGTTGCATAGTTGGTAAGGTTGAATAAAGACACCAGTCCATCTACTTCAACCTGTGTAGGTGTCTATCAAGGTGCCCATCTAAGAGGTGGTTGTTTTTGTTTGTTGACACTTCCCACGGACACACCACTGATTGTGGAAGGGCGTTCCACATCCTTACTGCTCTAACAAAGAGCCCCTTATACAATGTAAAGTTAAACCTATTCTCAAATTTCATTGAGTGGCTTCAAGTCGTCTTAAGCTCCCTGAAACTATTTTCCTCACTATGCTACAATCACCATTGAGGTATTTGTATATCGCTATCATAGCGCCTCTCAAGCATCTCTTCTCCAGAATAAGTTTAATGCTTGTCATTCCTTGAACTCAAGTCTTCCAGTCCCCTTATTAGCTTTTGTTGTCCTTCTCTGGACTCTCTAGTTCCAGTATATCCTTCCTGAGGAATGGTGACCAGAACAAGAACCATATTCAAGTTGTGGCTAGACCAGAGTTTTGTAAAGTGGTAGAATCTCTTGAGTAAATACCATTTTTAATGCATGCTAATCTGTTTGCAGCAGCTTTGCGAAGACTGATCTACTAGGATCCCCAGATCTTTCTATCCTGGATTCCCCCAAAGGTTCTCCCTGTAGCAAGTAACTTGCGTTCATGTTTTTGGCCCCCAAGTGCATTACTTTACATTTCTCAACATTAAACCTAATTTGCCATGTAGTTGCCAATCCAATTTTTTAATTGAGGTCTTGTAAGGTTTCTATATCTTGCTGTGAAGTATTTTTCCTACTTTGCTTTTAGTCAGCAAATGTGGAGATTGAGCTATGTATACAAACCTCTCATTTATGAAAAAATTAAACTAATAGTCCCAGGACAGCGCCTTGAGGTGACCCACTTACCACACCATTCGGAGTGCACACGATTTATCACCACTCTTTGGACGTGCTCCTGCAACCAGTTTTCTATCGCGGTACATACCCTATGGTCCAAGCCAACAGACCTCTGTTTTGTGAATTAAGCATTTATGTATCGAATGCTTTCGTGAAATCCAGATACACTACATCCACAGGCCTTCCTTTAGATGGCAGCTCATTTCTTCATAAAATATTAGCAGATTTGTCTGGCCAGAATGGTCTTTCTTAAATCCACACGGTTTACTACTTATGATGATGGGTTTGATTTACTAAAACTAGAGTGCAAAATCTGTTCAAGGTTTCCAGAATTTGATACCATTAATATCTTTTAGTATGGTGTGCAGTTTAGAGAAATTGGCTCTATTGAAATTTAGTTTTTGCACTACCCTCATGCCTCCTTTTTACTAGTAATTACATTGAATGTTATTACTCTGTGATCGCTGTTTCCGAAGTTGTCCTGTAATTTCACATCAGCGATCAGATCTGAGTTTGTAATTAGTAGGTCAAGCAATGCATTATTTTTAGCTGAGGCATCCACTCACCGACCCATGAAGTTGTCCCGCAATGAATGGTCTTAAATGAGTGAGCCGTTCCTTCTGCCCAGTCAATATCTGGATGATTGAAATCCCCCAATATAGCATTGCCCTGCCTTGCCGCCATTCCTAACTGTGACAGGAAGTCAGACTCCTCCTCTTTCAAGTTAGGGGGCCTTTAACATACGCCCACTAAATTTTCCATTTGTTCCATTTTAAGCTCCAGCTGCAATGTTTCTACCTCCCTCCCTTACCCCATTAGCTATGTTGCCCCCCTCATGTTCACTGTCAAATCATTCTTGATATAGTCATACCCCTCTTCTACCCTCCCTGTCCCTTGATACAAGGAGTACCCCTGGACAGTGGCAAGCTAGTCATGTGAGCTGTCAAAGGTTTGACATTCCTAAAGTCAAAATCCTCCTAGTAGATCGGCAACTCCAGTTCCATTTTATTAGCTAGGCTTTTAGCATTTGTGTACATGCCTTTTTAGTTTCATACGAGTGCATATGTTGTCCTCATTTCTGAGGTTGCAATTTTGTTCTGCCAACCTACTTACTTTTTGGTTTCAGTATCCTGGTTATACTTCCACTAATGCACCCAGTAGTACATGTTGACCTTTGCTTACATCCAGCTATCTCCTCTGATTTTTGACCATCCCCCCCCAATAGAGATGAACCCTCCCCTTTTAGGTGCAGGCTGTCCCTGCTATAGTTGTAACCAACTGAAAATTCAGCCCAGTTCTCCAGGAACCCCAAACTCTCCTTATGCACCAGGTCCTCAGCCACTTGTTAGGTTCTCTAATATCCTGCTGCATCTTTGGCTCTGCACAGGCAGCATTTCTGAAACTTCCACTATGGAGGCCCATTTCTTCAATATAGCTTAAGTCCCTGAACCCCTTTTTTAGGATGCTCCACCTTCCTCTAACTTTGACAATGGTTCCAATATGTACCATGACCGCTGAGTCCTCCCCAGCCCCACCTAACAATCTGTCAATCCAGACTGTAATGTTCCAAACCTGTGAGTCCCTGGCAACCAACATACTGTTTGGAAATTGTGGTCTTTATGACAGATTGCCCTGTCTGTCCCTCTAATAACTGAATCCCCTACTAGCAGAATCTGTCTATACTTTCCTTTATCCTTGCCCCCATCCTCACTGGAGAAGTTGTTCCTCTGGCAGCTAGGGGAGTCGCTCTGCTCTAGCACTGCCACTCCTAGACTGATATCCCCAATATCACGCAACCAGGCCTATTTGAGATGTGGCTCAGGACTGGCCTCCCTAATGCTTTTCCCTCTACCCCGTTTAACTGTCCAACTGCTCTGCTCTGGTGCCTGTACCACCTTATCTCCACCCACCTCTGATGGCACCTGCCAGTAACTGATTGGTACAGTCCAAGCTTGCTTTCAGGTTGGCAATGCTTTGCAGTGTTGCCAGCTGCCTCCTTAGTTTAGGACTTGCGTTTCCAAGGAAACGCCTTGCGCACATTTTATGCAGCAGTATTCGTGCTTCAACAGATGCTCAAGGAATGTATACATGTCACATGATTGCTCAGAATCGTGCTACCAAACCATTAAACAAGGTGCCCACTTTAATGGGGATAATTCTAGATAATTAGGAATCTTTTTTTCACTAATTTAGCTTTGATTTCTCTTCCTGACTTCTTTTCTGAACCCTGGTTATTCCCTACCTGGTTGACATGTCCCAAACACTGATCACACAGCCCGTGGCATACTCTCCTCCTGCTCCCTAATCACATGGCCTCTGGCATCCTCTTCTCTTCTCTTGCTCCCTAATCACATGGCCTCTGGCATCCTCTTCTCTTCTCTTGCTCCATAGTCCTCTCCTTTTTCCTGTTCCCTGATCCTTTCTCCCTGCTTCTGCTTTCTGACCACACAGTATCTGGTATCCTCTACTCCTTTGTTGCTGGTCCTTGGTGGGGTGTGTACTCTTCCTACTCTCCTCTGCTTTTCACCCAGTCCTACTCTGTCCTTGACTCACACGATGCTTCCGGTTTCACAGTCCTCAGCTCGCACAGTGCTCCCAGTTCCGCCCAGCCCTGGGGGGCTCCCAGTTCCGCCCAGCCCTGGGGGCTCCCAGTTCCGCCCAGCCCTGGGGGGCTCCCAGTTCCGCCCAGCCCTGGGGGGCTCCCAGTTCCGCCCAGCCCTGGGGGCTCCCAGTTCCGCCCAGCCCTGGGGGGCTCCCAGTTCCGCCCAGCCCTGGGGGGCTCCCAGTTCCGCCCAGCCCTGGGGGCTCCCAGTTCCGCCCAGCCCTGGGGGCTCCCAGTTCCGCCCAGCCCTGGGGGCTCCCAGTTCCGCCCAGCCCTGGGGGCTCCCAGTTCCGCCCAGCCCTGGGGGCTCCCAGTTCCGCCCAGCCCTGGGGGCTCCCAGTTCCGCCCAGCCCTGGGGGCTCCCAGTTCCGCCCAGCCCTGGGGGCCCCAGTTCCGCCCAGCAATCACAAAACTGTAATGGTGTTATATCAATAACATGGTAAGGGTTAGTGTACGCATGTCTTTGTTCTGACAGTTATTTTTCCAATTTTAGACACCACGATCATACAATACATAACTATTTCCTAATTGTTTACTTAGACTCCAGCTTGGTCAAGGCTGTGATTGAATGAAGGAGGACCTGCTCTCTGGTCATCTATCCGCTTCAGACTTCAAACTACCCCATCGTTTTACAGTCTGAATAGTAATAGTAGTACATGAGATTGCAGGAAACGAATACAAATATGGCTTGTTGTACAATTTAAAAATTCAAGTTTTTGTAATGAATACAACTGAAATAGAAACCTTATCTGCCAAAACATTTCAAAGTACAATTACATAATTTAAATATTTAAGTGAATACAGTTATGAAAGTCAGTATGCCATTACCAGTATTCTCATATAGGAAAGATTCAAGCAACTGAGACAATGGCAGCCCTTTAAACCGTATATATTTAAAAATCCTGACACATGCTGATTCTGCTAATACATTGAAATACGTTTTTCCCCGGACAGGTACCATAAGCACATTTTGTAGCAAAGTCTTGCCTGTTGACCCCCTAATCTCTTGCACTCCTGCAGAGGCTTTAGAAGTATTAGTGTTTTGGGTTTGTGTAAATCTTTGTTTCTGTTCTTTAATTCCATAACCTGCAACAGTCCTTTTTATATGCCAAAGCAACCATTATTTAGTAATGACCGCTGAGAATGGCTGGTTAACTCATTTAGTGAGCTAAGCCAAGACCAATATGTGGACTCCTGCAATTCTGTGGAATTGTCAATGTAGTTTTCTGATGCATTAACGTCTTTCAGTGTTGGGTGAAAGTAAATTGCAGTAGGGGCAGTGTGTGTTACAGTTGTGTATGTAGTGTGTATGTATGTAATGTATGTAAGAGTTTATGGCAGGTTCCATTTTCCACTTTTTCGTATAAATAAATTGTATTTCTCCTTTTTACAGTACGGTGTGCTGCTCTATCAGAACTACAGAATTCCCCAACAGAAAAGTCTGCAAACAAACTTCGCAGCACCTGTAGGTTCATGCTGTTTTGTTGAACTATTTTTAGGATGCCTAATGTTTGCAACAGATTGAAATGGGTTCTGTTTCCTGTGGTTTATTACATGGTAATAAGTTACTTCAGTTTGAATAGGGCAAAATCATTTTAAAAATATAAATAGTTTCTTTAACCCTACACGTCCAAAGATATATCTGAAACCTCAGCACACAATTTTCTTTTTTTTTTTTTTTTTTTTTTTTTGGCCAGTTCAACCTTGGCTGGCTTATTGAATTCATCACATTAATAGCCAATACCATTTCTGATCTTTTAGCAAATATTTTTTTTCTCTGATTTACAGGGAACCCGTATAGTTGAATGCTTTGCTGCATATATTTATGGTATAGTCAAAAAAAAAAAGTGGCATTTATTTGTGGAGGATTAGGAATTTACAACATTCAATATCCCAAGGTAAATTATTATTTTTTTTTTTTTTTAATCAGGGGCAGACTGACCATTTGGAAACTCGGGCACGGCCCGGGGTCAATAGGGGGCCCCATGAGATGCCCCTGGTACTTTTTTTTTTTTTTTTTTTTTTTTATAGGTTTTTTTGAGTTTGGCCAAGGACACAGGGGGCCCATGATCCCCTATTGCCTTGGGGATGTTCACATCTTTTTGGCAAGTTCCCTGTGTTAAAATCCAGACAGGAGGAGGTTAAAAAAGTTGTCTAGGACATGCATGTGACAGTCCTCTAAAGGAAACTCAAAAATTAAACCGGACAAAATTTACTGCAACAGGTGCTCACACAAGTAAATCTGTTTTAACAAAGCTAATAATATGATAAACTCTTAAATAGCATTATGTAAAAGAGCAGGGCCCTTGAACCCCTCGTGTATTGTATTGTCCCATGTACTGTCCCCCACTATAATGTACAGCGCTGAGCAAACCTTTTGGCGCTATATAAATACTGAATAATAATAATGTAACAAGCTATATAATCAGAAGTTAGTCTGTGTAACCAAAAATGTATTTTCTTTGTTTTTGTTTCGTTTCAGAGAAGTGTATCAGAAAATTGCTTAGTTGCTATGGATTTCTCTGGGCAGACAGGGAGGGTTATTGAAAATCCTTTAGAAGCACAAAGTGCTGCAATCGAAGAAGGTCACGCATGGAGGGTAAATGTCGCCCTGCATCATTGTGCTATGAATCTCGAGATTGAAAAACTAATATTTTATGTGAAGTACACAAATGATTGCAAAACGGCAAGCCAGCAGTTAACTGCCACGGGATATTTAGGAATTCAGCGGCTTTCCTTCCTCACTGCTTTAAAGCAATTTTGCAGCTTTTGGTCTAAATTATCATTGCTGGTGACCGGTTGCAGCCAATTGTCTTGAACCCATAAATGATTTGTCCAAAACGGAGGGAAAAAAGGTGAACTATAACAAATTATTGCCATAAAGTGTATTTCCACTATTGCAGCTAACTTTTATATTGGTTACATGTTTTCGTTCACATAGCTCAAAAGTATTGCTTAAATTGTAATTGCTCTTTTCTGAAAACTCCAAAACTGATGTTTTCCTCTGTGGAGGAATGGAAGTTCATGTCTGTATCCTGCTGGCAGATCTCATCAGTTGTAACTAGTTTTGTACACTGCAGATAACAATGGGATAAGGATCTAGAAGTGGGACTCTGCATTCTGTAAACAAAAGGGAAACTTAATGTGTTCCTCTGTCACTGGTACAGACTGATATTTGATATTAACCACTTGCCCTCCTGAGGATTTACCCCCCTTAATGACCAGGCCTCTTTTTGCTACTCTCGGCGCTACACTAATTCAACTAATAATTGCGCGGTCATGCAACGCTGCACCCAAATAAAATTTACGTCCTTTTTTTCACACAAATAGAGCTTTCTTTCGGTGTAATTTGATCACCTGTGCGCTTTTTATTTTTCACGCTGTAAACAAAAGGCCAAAAATTTTGAAGAAAAACAATATTTTTTACTTTCAGTTATAAAAAAATATATAGTAAACTCCAAAGTCGGTTATAAATTTAGGCCAAAATATATTCTGCTACATATTTGTGGTAAAAAAAAATCCCAATAAGTGTATATTGATTGCTTTGTGTGGAAGTTATAGCGTCTACAAACTATGGTATAGATACTGCAATTTACGCCATCTTTCTGCTATACAGCGCTGCGCTAATTTAACGGACAATTGCGCGGTCATGCAATACGGTACATAAATGAAATTTACATCCTTTTTTTTGGACTTTTTGCTATAAAACATGTCCAGTAAAAAAAAATGCAAAAATCAAATTTAGTCATAAATTTCTGCCAAAATGCATTCTGTGACATGTCTTTGCTAAAAAAAAAAAAAAAAAAAACCCAATACGTGTAAATTAATTGGTTTACATGAAAGTTAAAGCGTTTCCAAATGGCAGGAAAGATACTGGGATTTTTAGTTTTTTTTATATACTAATGGCGACGATCAGCGAATTATGGCGGCGATCAGGGACTTATGGCAGCAACCGGTGACTTATGGCGGGACTGCGGCGGACATTCTGACATTGGGGGGTACTGACTTGAGGTCACTGACATCCCCAAAAACACTAATACAGTGATCAGTGCAAAAAAAAAAACACTGACACTGTACTAATGGCACTGGGGAGGAAGGGGTTAACTTTATTTTGCAGGAAAGGGTTATAGGAGTGAGGGGAGTGTTTTACTAGGGGGCGGGGGTCTGTACTGGGCGGGACAAGGCTGATCGAGAGAGAACTGTTCTTTCTTGATCAGCTCATCCTCGAGCTGGCAGGGAAGTGACAGACAGTACAGCTACTGCAGCTGTGCTGTCTGTCACTGTTTGCCGCCGATCGCCGGGAAACAGCCGCTAAGGAGCGGCTGTGACCCGGCGACTCACATCTGCGGTGGTGATCGGCAGGACAGATAGGGCGGTGGCGTGCGCTCCCTATTTACAAAACACACGTTTTAAAACATGGTTTTGCCTGCGAGTGCCGCCGTATATGTGCAGTGGCTTGGTGGCAAGTGGTTAAAGTGGTAGTAAAATTTCATTTCTATTTTTACCTACAACTAAGCCTTTAATTGGGCTTACCAGTAGGTACTGTAAATATCTCCTAAATGTGCACAGTTTAGGAGATATTTACTTCAGAAGCGCTGGTATGTCACTGGCGCATGCACACTGCGTTCTCAATGGACGGCGTGTCGTCCATTGAGAGCCGTGCCACGGCCTGAGACTCCCGTGATAGCGCTCTGCTGGAGGGCTTTGTTTTCAGGTAAGCCTTTCATAATGTGCTAGTCCCTGCTGGACCGAAGATTGAGGCCCACCCGGAATGTTACCTTAGGACACTGGGCTCTGCTTGTGGCATTTCCCAAACTTTTAGGTACTGTTAACCTATAGAGCGATTTGCAGGTCCATAGTCATACACAACTTCCTGCCTGACCCAGTCTGATGACTCTTCAGTGAATATGCAGTGTGGGCATTGGGCGCTGATACATTTATTGCTACTATTGAATGCTCCATCACGATCTAGTGTCACGTGTATGCATTCAATGCCCTGCTAATGGTCTATTCAGGAAGCATCATGCTGCCACTGCTCCTATCGGCAAGAGATTACCCGGTTTTTGCCTTGGTTAGTCCCTTTTTTTGCTTAGTGACCTAGTCCCCTTCATTCATTAAGGCCCCTTTCACACGGATGATCTGATCAGGTTTGCTTTTCAGAAAGACCTGATGGGAAGGTCCATGCATTCCTATAAACAGGCAGGTGTAAATAGATTTGTCCATTTAAGCACTTGCCTACCGGGAACGTATACCCCCTTGCCTAGGGCAATTTTCAGTTTTCAGTGCTGCCGCACTTTGACAATTGAGCAGTCATGCAACATTGTACCCATATGAAATTTTTATCATTTTTCACACATTGCTTTCTTTTAGTAGTATTTAATCGCCGCTGGGTGTTTTTTTGCTATAAACAATATAATACATTTGGAAAAAACTTTTTTGTTTTGCTCTAACATTTTGCGAACAGGCAATTTTTCTCCTTCACTGATGTGTGTTGATGGGGTGACGCTAATCGGTGTCTATTCATCCTCTGACCATTGCTGGTTATGGACAGTCCTTTGCTCAGGCTGTCATAGCATGAGCAAAGTGCAGCCAATAACCGACAACTGCATTTACCGGTGCACTGCTGAGTGATTGGCCTTTTACCACATCACGTGATCTGCTGTGTCCTACGGACACAGCAATCATGGAGATAGCTGGGGGTGTGGCAGGAGGGCGTGTTCTGGGAGGATGTCATATGAAGCCCTCCCAGAACTGGACAACCGCTCTGTAGCCATCATTCGGCTATAGCGTGGTTGGCAAGTGGTTAAACCACCTACCTCCTAGGTCTGATCTGGTCCAAAAAGAGGGGGGGTGGGTTCTGTCCTCTTTTTAGGCAGATCAGAGAGTAGTTGAGTATAAATGGACAGTGGAGTCAGTTTACTCCCATCCGCTCATAGATCAGAGCGGGCCCTGTCCCACTTTGCTCCAGTCAGGCAATTCCATGGCTTTTAAAGGTAGTTCAAATGAATGGAACCATCAGTAGATGCCTTCTGTGTTCTAGTAATGCCATTTTACTTAAAAAATCTTCAAAGCTATTTGCTACACAAGAGACTGACAAGAGTAGGCATGTGGTCTGTAAAGCATATAGTATGTATTAGCAAGCTAGATGAGGATAGCCAACAGAGCTAGTAGAAATTATCAGCATGATGTAGGTAAAATATTAAATTTCTATCAGTACAGTCCACACATGGATAGCTATACATCAGTCCCATCAAAACTGTTAAATCATCATATTGCCGCCAGATACTCAGCACTGTTGCATTTCTCACCACTCTTTGCACTGTATGGTTCCAAAGACACCATTGCGCTACTTGGTTTCCTTCATATTCCGTTTCCAGCAAGATCCAATGTTTTGCTTTGTATAACTGCATGTTAAACCACTGTCAGCACACCTACTACCTGAAGTTGGCAAGACAATGTGTGCTGACATAAGTTTCATTTACTAGCGTACCACGCTTCAGGACAAGGGAGCCACAGAGCTCTCCATTTACGGATTACAGTCCACTCCATTTTATTGCATCCCTCCAGTCCTGAAGGGACCACAGTCTGCTTGCTTGTTCTAATACAGCCTTTTCCAACCAGGGTGACCTGGCACCCTGGGGTGGTACCTTCAGGTTTCTGCAGGAGTGCCTTGGCAAAATGCCTAAAAATTGCCCAAAAATTTAACAAAAAGGCTGGCTTAATCCATCCACTGGCTTGTGAAGTTTCATTAAGCACCATTACAACCTTCCAGTCACCAGCATCCTAACAACCAATGACCTAATTGCTTGACGAGGAAGATGTAGGGTTCCTGCACAGCATCATTGTTCGCCCTCCATCTGCACTGGGGTCACATTAGCTGAATAGGGGGGAAGAGAAACAAGGGAGTAGAAGTCAGTACCAGTGTGAAGAGGTGTATTGGCTTTGGAAGAATAAATCACTTCTAATGTTGGGTGTCCAACATGTGTGAATGTTGCTGCGTTATGTAAACCTTTAGTGTTTTTTTTTTTTTTTTGTTTTTTTTTTTTTTTTTTTTTAATTTCAGAATGGGGTGCCTTGAGATTGTACATACATTTAAAGAGTGCTCTGACTGCAAAAGTGAAAAACACTAGTCTAATAAATGCCTACCGGCTGGTAGTCATCGGTCTAGATTTAAGATGAAAGAGCGCTTTCTGCTAATAGCTGAATACGTACGCATTTCACAGTGTGTATAACTGATTAACTCCTTTATAATCGAGGGTCAAACAAACCTTAACACCCACATCCAACTTTGGCATGTTAGTAACTGTATGTATCATCACAACAATCCAAGTGGATTATACCTTGGTGTTTTTTGTTTTTTTTTTGTTTTTTTTTCAGGACGAATTGGTGGTAAACTAACGGATATCTCCTGTTTTTTTTTTTTTTTTTTTTTTTTTTTTTTTGGGTTTTGGTTTTTTTTTTTTTTTTTTTTTTTTTCCCTAAGGAAAACTGGCCCAAAATAAAAAAAAAAAAAAAATTTAAATTTAGCTATATTTCCTGATGCTACTATAACCTACCACAAAAAAAAACCCAAAATAAATTCTCCTGCTCCTGATGATCACAGCGATATAACGTGCATGTTATATTTATGTACCTGTAGTAGGGCCCAGAAACTATAGTGCGCATAAATTTTTTTTTTTTTTTTTTTATGAATTCAGAATGTATTAGCATATTAACAATTTTCATGAGTACTGGACATGGAGTTAACACTTTCAAATGTCTAGATATCTAGTACTTCCTCCTACTGTTCCCAAAATACTTCTGTCACATTGAAGTGCTCTCATTTGGCTTATGGAAATACCCCCTTTCTGGGAATCTTGCATATAGTTGTTGCGCCTCAATCTTGGTCAGCCGTTTTTGTACAGTTATGCTGAATGCGCAAAAATTAACCCGGTGGGTATTCCTTTTGCGTGAAATAGGATGGTGACTAGTTGCTCATAGTAAAGTATCTGATTACAAAGACATTTCTTAAAAACAAAGCAGCAAAGTACCCTTCTCTGAATCAGAAGGTCCAAGAAAGGGATTTGCTTTTTATCTAGAGTAAATATGTATGTGTATGTGTCTCAAATACCACTGAAAGAAAGCTCTTTGTGGAAAAAAAAAACGACTTAAATTTAATTTGGGTGCAGTGTTGCATGATCACGCAATTTGTCAGTTAAAGTAACACAGCACTATATCGCAAACAAATGGCCTGGTCAGGATGGGGGGGTAAATCCTCTGGAGGGCAGGTGGTTAATGAAGTCTGTGCTAGTGGTCCCTGACCGTTACAATCCTTTACATGTATAACAGCATTGCTGATGTGTTTTTTTTTTTTTTTTTTTTTGTTTTTTTTGTTTTTCTTTTCCCCACTGTAATTTCAGTCTCATGGGAATATGTGGCTTTTGTTTTTTTTTTTTTTAGAAACGCAGTTCACGGATGAATGTTTTAGGAAGCCAAAGCCCACTTCATCCTTCTATGCTTAGCACAGGTAACTGGTCTGGACTTTTGATTTTTTTTTAAAAATTGTATAATTGCTCTGCTTTGTTGGAGTAACATTTTTGTTTCTCTTGTAGTTATTCATAGGACACAGCCTTGGTTCCATGGCAGAATATCTCGAGAAGAGTCCCAAACAATCATTAAACAACAGGGGCTTGTCGATGGGTAAGTACTTTAATTCAAAATTTAAATGAGAGTACGATTAACAAAAATGTTCTTCCTTCAGCCACATGAAATGTATATTGGGAAACAAAAGGCCTACAAATTCTTTTGTACAAATGTTTTGCAAATTTTAGGCCAGTAGACCACATGATCTTTACTGGGTATTAAATTAGGATAACTGCAAAGTTTGAGCTGCTGTTCATGTACATCAGGATATGGTTGATGGTGGTCATGGGCATTAACCGCAAAAGATTTTTTTTTTTTTTTTTGTCAATTAAAACAATTTTCAATATTTCGGTCCATGAAACATGGGCCACCTGTGGGGGTAATATTTTATTTGATATTTGGTAACTGTTTTTGGTGCCACTACCTTGGAACAGATGTGCCTTTTTAGAATAGGACTGTATGAAAACTAAAACAAAATCAAATATTTATATTTTCCTAAATAGGAAATAAAAATCGACAGTTGCTTGCCTCTTTAGCAACCGGCATTGCGGAGTAATTCCCTTTTTCAGATTTGCAGTTGAATTCTTTGATTTCACTTTCTCACCTTAGCTCAGCTCCTCCTATCAGCAGTGAATTGCCAGCCTTCTAATCTGTAATGTAAACAGAACTAGGTGCGCAGGAAGAGGGGGCAGAAAATGCGCAGGAAGAGGGGTGCAGAAAATGCGCAGGAAGAGGGGTGCAGAAAATGCGCAGGAAGAGGGGTGCAGAAAATGCGCAGGAAGAGGGGTGCAGAAAATGCGAAGACTTGTTTTTTCAACAACTTGACTGCATGTGTTAACTTTGAGGTTGGATTGGCCTACGGAAGCTTTAGCTACTCTGGTCTGTGAGCTTATTTTTAAAGCCCAGCTCTGGGTGGTGATTTAAAAAATAATTTTGCACTCTTCCCAGTTGAAGAATATATTGCTTATTTTTCTATAGGGTGATCTAGAATTGCTTTAATCTTCTTTGTCAGTCTTCCTCCTCACCAGTTTTTTTTTTTTTTTTTTTTTTTTTTTTTTTTTTTTATTTGGTATGACCAGTTCTCCAAAGCCATTCTTTCTTGCCGGTCACCAAACTGGCTCTCCCCACCTCACTTGCCGTCATACCATACAATGCAAGTCCTATGATCACATCCCATCCTGATGACATGACCGCTGATCCTTCATGGTTTGTGATGGAGTAGGATTGCCCACTTAAGTTCCAGTGTTGAAGAAGCAATGTATTAATGGTCAGCTTTTTTTTTTTGGGGGGGGGGGGGCTGACTTAATTGTTAATATTTCCTATTGCATTTAGACTTTAAAAGCATATTTACTGGCTGTTAAAGTAATTTTGTATTGATTTCCTCCTGAAAAATAGCCACTTCTGCATGTAACTGCTAGTTTCAGAATATTTGGAGTGAGATGTGGTGATCTCACTATTCTCCTTGCTGGAGGCTGAGTATGTAGAGGCAGAGTTTTGCTTCCACATGTTAGAGGAATTTTCTGTAGAAACGGTCGTCTTGGTAAATTTAAGACTAGCAACAGTTCTAATTTAATGCGTATTTATGCATCCTGGTAACTGTCATTGTAACTTGGTATATGCCAAGTATGATGTAGAATGTAACCTTTTAGTTGAACATGACAAGTTACAACCTACATTGCCTAGATATTCTACCAACTTAGCGGAATCATAAGTGCAGTTCACTGCACGCTGACATGCCTGCTGGGCCCATCTTTATTATGTATGCTTTACCCCCTTTTGTATTCAATTTCCTTTTTCACCTTAGTTTAGCAACACTGAGGCTATGCAATTTACTGTGCAACAAAGTACATATTTAAAATATATCTAAAACCAAAATGATTTTTAGCACTATTTACAGTCTAATTTCAATAAGATCATCTTTAGGCGGAAAGAAATTGGCCCGAGGACAAGGACTAATTACAGTGACCAACAAACTCAATTTGTTCCAGGGTTCCTCTTAATTGCATCCCAGTGACTAGTTATGTAACAATCAACCAGATAAATTTCAAAGCAACACTGTTTAGGCAAGTATAAGAACATGTTTCTGGGTTATTAGCCTATCTGGGGAGACTGCCTGGGAGTCTCTGAAAAAAATAAATAAATAAATTTACTCATTTATGGGCTGCTTTTACATTCAACCAATGGATTAAACGAAAGACTAGTTTCCACCATACACACAGTGTGTGGAAGCCTCCCCACCTAGCTATTGTATCCTGACAACGAAGAAATGTCCCTATCAGAATACACTGATTGGTGATGCTGGCTATAGCTGACAGTGTTGATCAAGCAGGAAAAATTGGACAGATTAGTTGTACAGAAGTCAATCGGGATCAAAATTTGGCTGATCCCTGTTGAACCGGCCAAATTTCGATCCATGTATGACTGGCTTAAATCTGCTTCTGTGTGTTTGAGGACAGTTGTATGATTGTTTAGGACATGTGTGCTGGGAGCATGCAGGGCACGCACTCTCAGCACATGTTTTTCTTAAATGCACACATGTGGCCGCTCGGCGTCTAGCCCCAGACACTGGGAGGCCACACATTTTGTGTGCAGCCAGCGTGAAGAGGTTAAGTTTCTGGGTACTTATGACTGGATGAGTGTGAAAATGAGATGAAGAGATAGATATTGGGTCCACCTGTTCAATTGCTTGGCAAAACAAATTGCTCATCCCCTTTTTACATGGCAGCAACTCAATGCATTTAGGCATCTAGACGTGGTGAAGACAACTTGCTGAAGTTCAAACCGTGCACCAGAAAGGGGAAGAAAGCGGATTTAAGTGACTTTGGGCATGGTTGTTGGTGCCAGACAGGCTGGTCTGAGTATTTTACTTGGATTTTCACGCACAACCATCTCTAGAGTTTACAGAGAATGGTACAAAAAAGAGAATCTGGTGAGGAGCAGCTGTGTGGACAAAAATGGCCTGTTGTCAGAGGAGGATGGGCAGGCTGGTTCGAGATGATAGAACGGCAACAGTAAGTCAAATAACCACTTGTTACAACCAAGGTATGCAGAATACCATCTTTTAATGCACAACACGTCAGACCTTGAAGCAGATAGCTGATAGGAGTGGCACCCCATGTGGTCTTCTGCTGCTGTAGCCAAGAACAGGAAACGGAGGCTACAATTCGCACAGGCTCACCAAAATTAAACAATAGAAGGCTGGAAAAATGTTGCCCAATCTGAGTCTTTCAGCTGCGACATTCAAATGGTAGGGTCAGAATTTGGTGAAAACATGAAAGCATGCCTTGTATCAACGGTTCAGACTGGTAGTGTAATGGTGTGAGGGATATGTTCTTGGCACACTTTGGGCCCCTTAGTACCAGTTGAGCATCGTGTAAATGCTACAGCCTACATGAGTTTTGTTGCTTACCATGTCCATGCCTTTAATACTACAGTGTACCTATTTTCTTATGGCTACTTCCAGCAGGATAATGCATAATGTCACAAAGCTCAAATCATCTCAAACTGGTTTCTTGAACATGGCAAGGAGTTCACTGTACCCCATTGGCCTCCACAGTCCCCAGATCTCAATCCAATGGAGCACCTTTGGAATGTGGTAGAACAGGAGAATCACATCATGGATGTGCAGCTCACAAATCTGAAACATTCCTCCAGATTTTGGTCCATATTGACAAGATAGTATCAGTTGTTGCAAACACCTTGTTGAATCTATGGAATTGGGCAATTACAAGCAGGGTGTACCTAATATAGAGGTGTGTGTGTTTTTAGATTTCAATGAAGCAGCTGAAAGCTGAAGGGGGGGAGAGAAGCGGCTTCCAATTACTTCACTGAAAGACATATAGGAGATAGCTGCTTATTGCCCCTTTCCCCCCCCCCCCCCCCATATTCTCCGCACCAATAGAAGAAAAGGGGACAGTGGCTGAATCTATTCCTTCTCCTGTCCCTGCCCACACTCCAGTCCATTTAGCTTCCCAGAGGATGTGTGGGTGGGAAATTGTACACAGAGCAGCCGACAGCTCTGCTGCTTCTGACTGAGCATGTGAGTCCCCCCTTCTTCCACCCCCCCCTTCCTTCCTTCCCTCCCACCACCCCCCCTTCCTTCCTTGCCTCCCTCCCACCCCCCACCCCCCCCCTTCCTTCCCTCCCACCCCCCCCCTTCCTTCCTTCTTCATGCCTCCTTCCCCCCCCCCCAACCCTCCCCTTCCTTCCTTCCTACTTTGCCCCTCCCCCACCCCTCCCCCTTCCCCCTCCCCCTTCCTTCCTTCCTTCCCTCCCACCCCACCCCCCCCTTCCTTCCTTCCCTCCCACCCCACCCCCCCTTCCTTCCTTCCCTCCCACCCCCCTTTCCTATGCTCTCTTTGCCCCACCCACTTCCTTCCTTCTTGCCTTGCCTTCCTTCCCTCCCACCCCCACCCCCACCCTTCCTTCCTTGCCTTCCCACTCTCCTCCACCCCACCCCCTTTCCTTCCTTTCCCTTCCCTTCCCTCCCCCCACCCCTTCCTTCCTTGCCTTCCCCCCACCCCTTCCTTCCTTGCCTTCCCACCCCTTTCCGTCCTTCCTACCCCTTCCTTCCTTGCCTTCCCACCCCACCCCCCCCTTCCTTCCTTGCCTTCCCACCCCCCCTTCCCCCTTCCTTCCTTGCCTTCCCACCCCACCCCTTCCTTCCTTGCCTTCCCACCCCACCCCTTCCTTCCTTCCTTGTCTTCCTTCATTCTGCATAGAACATTTAACAGTGCCATCTCATGAGACAGTTTACAAGGGCGTAAAGAGTGGATATCCTCTCTGGACAGTTGTCAGTGACGCAATTGTGACTACTGGAATATTTCCCCTCCCCACCTTATAGATGACAGTGAATGACTCTCCTTGAGTAGGACTGGCAGATGGTATAACCTTCTACCACTTTATTCAAAAGAAATAGAACTGGTTTTAGTTGCAGAATAACATTTCTATTTTACTGATCCTTTAAAAGTATTAATCTAATAGTTGTCTGCTATAAGCTGAAATGTAAACTGCTGCTTAGAGTGATTCACCTTACACTAAAGTCTCAAAATGGTTTTAAATACTATGGGTTTTTTTTTTTTTTAAACAAATGTACATGATTTATAATCTGTAATAATTCTGAGAGGTTTGAACACTCAAGTTTATGTATAGCCAAAACATTTTGAATAGAGAAGAAAAGGGTTAAACCCTGTAAATGTATTTTTCCTGTGCGCTGTTGAGGAAATTTTCCTTCAGTTTTTGTCCAGAAGCATAACGAGAGGAGTGAAAATTCTCCCTACAGGGTAAAGGGAATTTCCCTCTTAAGCTGGCCATACATACATGGTTCAAAATTTGTTTGACTAATTCAGCAGGAATCCGTGTTGTGGATGGCACTACCTGGCTCGACAAGCCTGTTTCAAAATCAAAAGAGCCAGGTGGAAAATTGTCAACCGAACAGATACTGCAGCCAATCAGATGCAGGTATTCAGGCAGCCATGGATATGCTGCAGGTGTCTGTGTACAGTAACTGGTGGGGCCACCCATGGCTTGAATGTTGGCCATTTCAGCATGCTAGACTTGGTTGTCATCAGAACAGCATGGTATACTTAGTTGTCACCAGAACAGAAGCGTTTGTTGAATTTAACCTTTTGCTCTGGTAGTACCTCACGTCTTTAGTGACCGTGGTCACCATGAGGGCTAAATCTCCCCAGTGGGAAACAGACTGCATTAAAATTTTTCTTAGCTCTTTACAAATCCACAAAAACTGGTTTGCCTACGCTGTAATTGTTGTGTTGTAATTGCATTTTTAATTTATTTCTAAACAATTATTGGACCAAATTCTTTTCAGCCTCTATCTCATTCGCGATAGTCAGAGTAATCCAAAGGCGTTTGCGCTTACACTGTGTCATCACCAGAAAATAAAGCATTTCCAGATTTTACCTGTAAGTATTGCTTGTCCATGGTATGCTTTTACCCTCTGATTTGATTTTTTTTAATATGTATGGTATTGTGTGAAAATAAGGAACGAACTAGTTATATAGTGAAAATCTTGCATTCCATAACCTGACATTGCAGACTGTGCCAGCCTCTTCTAGATTATGCTTGACAGCAAAACTTGCACGTTCTAAAATTTCAGTGTTCAAAATGTGCACTGTAGCTGTCACAGTACAACGTCCTATTGCTCGTTTCTAGAGTTTTCTCTTGCATTCATTGACAGGCACAGCTTCTCCGATTCCTGATCACAGGGCTATAATGCCACCTACATGAATTAAACACTAGGCAGAAAAAATACACAGCACCGCCTATAGGTAGTCCTAGCTGGCATAAAAAACCCCTCGGCTATAGGCAATCCAACCTTTTCTGCCTAGTGTTAGGGGTAAGAACTAGCTCTCTGTTCCATGTGTTTTTGTGTTTTTTTTTTTTTTTTTTTTTTTTTTTTTTTTTTTTTTTTCTTTCCTGGGATTCTTTTTCCTGTAGAGATCTTTAATCAGCAGCTGGGCTGGGTGATGGGCTGGATAATCTAGATCCAGAGGTTACCCCAGTCTGACCAACAAGTGCATGCAGACCTTTAGCTAAGCGTTGAGTAGGCCGCGACACAGCCCCATCCAGGACCGGGGGCAGCCAGCGATTTAGTTAAATGTCTTGTGGGGACATACATGACCAGGTGCCTAGAGTTCACGTCAGTGTTGCCCTGGCCGACAGCCCCCACTTCAGTGGAGAGAGATTTGTCTCAGGAGTGTTGCTCGCTTTCTTGGCTAGACCAGTAAGTAAATGCCCCCCTCCTCTTCAGGCATAGTGGCAGGCTGCTGGTACTTCTCGGGTGGTCAGCCCTGTGGGGTCCCCTCCACCCCTACCTGCCTGAGTTACTGACCAAGGCCCCCCCTTTAGGATGTGGGGTTCACCTGACTGCTGTGTACCTCTTCCTGTCCAGTATGTGCTCCTTGGTGGCCATGTAGCTTTTTTTTTTTTTTTTTTTTTTGTGCCCTGCAGAGGCCCACTGTTGCTGTGATTGCACTGCCTTCATGGCCCCCCACCCCCATGCATGGTTGGTAAGTGTCCAGCAGCTGTTAGGGGTACTTGGTGAACACTGGATATGCTCTGGTTTGTCCCTCCTAGATCAGTGTTTTCTCCTGCTAGGTCTTCCTGTTAGGCAGCCCAACCGTGTGGTGAGCTCACGTCACTGGCCTACTGGGCGGCCTAGGGGGTGGGCTGTGGTGCCACCTTTTGCTTTAGGGCATTCACCCTATTTGTGTTTCCTAAAGCATGGTAATGCTGCGCTCGGTAAGGCACTAGGGGCAGTTATGTATGCCCCGGAGATCTCCTGGCTGAGCTTCCAGGGTGGATGCAGTGTGACAGATTAACCTTTGGCAATTTTTACCTGAGCGTGTGTGCCCCCTGGCACTAGATCAGAACCTGGGTATGGTGAGTGCAGATGGCCCTGCCTATTGGCTGTTTGTGGCAATCTGGTGATGTCGTCCTCTTCCCAACCCCCCCCCCCCCCTTGTTTGCTCTGGACTTGCCCTTGGGGTCCTGTGTCTCACAGTATGTTCCATCTGGAAGCTGAAGGGGGGGGGGGGGGGGGTGGAGAAGACTGTTCCTTTCCCGTCCTGGAAATAGTGCGGTGAATCTGCAGACCTCTGCTTTGCTCCCACGCAAAAGCTGGGCCTGTGACTGCACTATTCCCTCCTATGTGGGGAACGTTCATGTGTGAGGCTCCCTTTGGGGCTCCCAGTGCAGTAGCTTTCCCCTTTGGTGTGCATCAGCCAGCCAAGCAGAGAACATGTGTAGCGTCTTTGTTTTCAAACATGCTTGCTGTATGTTGCCTTTTTGGGGAGGCCCTTCTGGAGAAGTGGGCCTTCCTTCCTGTGGGGTTCTACCCTTTTCAAGGTTGAATATGCCAACTGTGATACCGATAAAGGGGTCTTCCCTGTCCCCCTCCTTTACGGATCCCGAGACCTGCGGGGCAGTATAGGTTACCCACTCTGTTTACCCTTAAGGGTGTGGCATTGTGGCTGTGTTGGCCCATACATCCAAAACACCAGACCATGGCTAAGGATCTGCAACACTGCCCCCAAACAAGTGGAATTAGGTGTACAGGATCTTGCAGTCTGGTTGGGCCAGGGCCTGAGATGGTGTAGATGTATTACCCAGATGCTGTCTATCTCGACGGTGGTGCCTTGATCCATAGGCTGGTCTGCTGATCAGATCTCTACCACAGCTTTATTTAGTTTATGCCCTTCCAGGGTATAACCGGGTTCTGATATCACATCAGAACCTCACAGGAGGCATGACTTCCTCCCTCCTCCATAGCAAAAGGGGGAAGGAACCACATGGAAACTCCCAGTCTTCCTTTACTGCCCATAGGAGTTCCCATGGCTTCTCTGTCAAGGGCTTTAAGCCCTTCATGGCCCCCATGGGTAGGGCCAGGTGCTCCTGGACCCACAAGTCTACTGAGCCCACAGACTAATCCTCCTCGGCATGAAGGCTTACCCCTACCCGTTGCCAGGGTGGAGAAACGCCTTTGTTGCTCTTGGGCTTTGGGCCTTTCTAGTTTCAGACAATTGAGCCCGCAAAATCGTTCCCTCTAATCTACGCCTGCCATCATTGAGTCCTCGGGTCTTGTACACTATCTGATATGTCAGGGAATGATTGTGTCTGAGCCAGATAGCTCCGGGGGTTTTACTCACACCTGGTCACGGTTCCATGATGGAAGGGGTTCACCCTATTCTGGCCCACAGGCTGTACGCCTGCACATTCTCATTCAACGAGGGACATCAGTAGTTCCTATACCCTGCAGTAAGGCAGGCAAATTATCAGTGGGGTGCCTGCCTTTAGGCTGGCCTGTGCCCCCCTGGGTGTTTTCCATGGTGTGGGCTCCTGTTCTGGTTTTGCTGAGACTACAGGGCATTTCTGTGACGGGTTATTAGGACAACATACTCCTCCGGGTAGGCTCACAGGCCATGCTGTTAACTGAGGGTCACGTTGTGCTCCTGGCAAGCCTTCAAGGGTCTTGACCCTCTAGAAGTGTGCCCTGATCCCTGATGAATAGTCTGGAGTACCTGGGCCTGGTTCTCTACTTGAAGCAGGCCATGGTGTTTCCCCAGGTGGACAAATCCAGGAGCTTTGGACTGTGGCTCAGTTGCTCTTTCTCCAGCCAATTCCTTTTGGGATCTTGCATGCTGCATCTGGGTCTGATTTTGTATCCATCTGCACGGCAGTCCCATGCGTGAATCCTGCATAGTGACATCCCTCCATTGAGTCAGGTCAACAGGAGTGTCTCATGGTGGATCTGAGCTTGGATGCTTAGACAGTTGTCTCGACGGATGCCAACCTGTTCAGCTGGGAAGAAGTTCTGGGCCTCAGGTCCACATAGGGCCATTGGATGGTAGAGGAGGCTCGACTACCCATGGATGCCCGAGGGCTGCAAGCATTCAGGATGTTTCTGGAGTATTAGATGGATCTTCTCCAGGGAAAACACAGGATCAGGAACCATCTCTGCCTTAGTGGACTCAATCAGGGCAGAGCAGGATATGCAGCTGCGACACTGGAGGCATCCCTCATTCCACAGTGGGTGATGCGCCACGTTCCAGATTTTTGGTCATGCACATCCCCAGCATCTACCTTTTTAGCAGGTAGAGTACCTCTGCATGCAAGGGCCACTCCCCCAGAGCCAGCATGTGAAAACAGACATTTTTCATTAGCTCTGTATGTGCTGGGGGGAGGAGGCCCTGATGTGAATCCTGGCATCCTGTCTGCACAGGAAACTGCCATGGTTTTTGGTGATTACACAGGGTCATTTTTTTGAGGATGCAACAGCTGCATTGGTGTCTCCGTGGGATCAGTATCGCCTTTCAGCTGCTCACTTGCAGGCTAAGGCTCGAGGGGGTTCTAGTCATCCTGGTGGCCTTGTCATCCAGGGTGCGCCGCCATGGCCAGCTGATCGCAGATCGTTCCTGGGGTTTTGCCTGTTTTGGGCTGTTTGGGTGGTTGACACGCTTGCTTTGTTGCTGCAGTTTGTGTTTTGCCCACCCCTTGTTGCGGTACTGCTTTGGAATGTCCCTGTGGTCAAGAATCAAAAGAGCTGTGTCCGTCGAACGTAAGAAAAAAAACTGGATTCTCTAACTTTTGAGGTACTTGATGGACACAGAACCCACCCTCTAATAAAAATCATTCTGACACTGCTATAGGCAATAAAGTTATTTACAAAGCAGAGAGGGGGTTTACACCAGCTAAAACTGACCATAGGCGGTGCTGTTGTTGTTTTCTGCTTAGTGTCGTACTCCTGTAGGTGGTGATATAACCATGTGGTCAAGAATCAGAAGAGCTATGTCCGTAATTTAACTCAGATTTTACAGTGAGCAACAAAATTCTGTTAGCATTTCTGCTGCATGTTGTCTTCTAGCAGGTGGGGTTTTTTTCCTGTACATATCCAAATTTTTTGGCCAGGACAAAACCTACAGATAAACCTGTGGTCCATGCTGGAATATTTTAACTACTTGCACTCCTGAGGATTTACCCCCCTTAATGGCCACGCCTTTTTTTGCTACTCGGCGATATACTACAACTGATAATTGCGCGGTCATGCAATGCTGCACCCAAACGAAATTTACGTCCTTTTTTCACACAAATAGACCTTTCTTTCGGTGGTATTTGATCACCTGTGCGCTTTATTTTTCACGCTATAAACAAAAAAAAACTAATTTTGAAGAGTATTTTTTACTTTCAGCTATAAAAAATATATAGTAAACTCAGATATAAATTTAGGCCAAAATGTATTCTGTTACATGTTTTTAGTAAAACAAATCCCAATAAGTGTATATTGATTGCTTTGTGTGGAAGTTATAGCGTCTACAAACTATGGTATAAATACTGCAATTTATGCCATTTTTTTGCTATACAGCGCTGCGCTAGTTTAACGGACAATTGCGCGGTCATGCAATAC